CCTGAGTGAATCTTTCTACAGCGTCACGCTGTGAGCCGACACCTCCCTGGTCACTGACCCTGTCGGATCACATTAGGATCCTACAACATTTTTACCCACTTCTACTATAGGAGCCAGGACACCTGTTAAGCCTTACATCCAATTATTCAAAGGAGTTCAATGTTCCGGCGGGCTAGAAGCGAAGCCAGGGAGTTGTCATGCTTCGCCACCCCAAATAAAAGAGTCTTTACAGGGAGTAAGACAGAGCGTCTGAAGTGGCATGGAGAAATTAGTTCTTGGCAGCAGGCACAGGGACAATCTGTTGGAAAAGATATCTGGCTGCAGGAGAGTGAGATGGGAAAAAGGGTGGAGGGCTGGAGGAGGAACAGCAGCAGCCTTCAGGGTCCATGCGGGTGAGAGAAGGAGGCACATGAATGACTTGAGGGATGAGGAAGCCTCCCACAGCCCCTCCCTAGTCGGCCTGGCCATCTGTTCTGGGACCGCCAGCAGGTGGTCACCATGAAGCTTGGGGACTGGCAGGCACGTTAGCAAACAAAGCCCTCGGCTGGCTGGCCCAAAAAAGGAGAAAGGAAAAGCTCCCAGTGGACCCTTGCTTTTGGGAAATGGCCAAGTCCCCTCCCTGGGTCTCACCTAGCTGAACAAAGCCCCTCCTGGCCCTGCAACCAAAATCCCCATCAATGCCCATGGGTCCCCCCGGAACTACTGCCCGTGTCAAGGATGAAAAACCTATGCTTCTGCCTTGTAGATACTTTTGTAGTGTGCAGCAAAAGCCTCACTTGAAGCTTCAGGATTCAACTCAAAAACAGGCAGAGCTCCTGGAGAAAGCTCACCAAGCTCCTTCCCCAAATCCACGTGTCTGTAACAGCTCCCTGCGTCCCCCTACACACACACTCGTTCATCTGGGCCTCTAGCAATCTCACCTGGGCCAAGATTGCAAGCAGCTGCAACTGCCTCTCTCCAGGAAAGCCAACCTGATCTTGGCTAGGGCCCCAGAGAAAGGCGATTCTTTGCTGGTAATGCCAGAGCGGTAAAAGCCACTAGGGAAACGGAAGGCAGAAAGTCAGAATCTGCTGCGTAGGATGACTTCCGAGGCACTGCTATCACTCTGACGGGGCCCAAATAGGCAGGAAGACGGGGAGGGGAAGAAAGGAGAGAAAAGCAAAGCTATGGCGTGGGCTTTGGGCTTTATTCGCAAGGTCTGGTTCCTGGCGCTCAGAGACCACCCAGGAGTTCTGTGTGATCGCCCCACCTTGGGGCCAGTTTAGGAACTGCAGCCTCTTGGGAAGCGGAGGGTTTACGGCAGTACAGTAACCCTTGCCCCCTGATAGGCCAGGAGGGTTCAAAGCTTTGCTTTCCTCAGTCCCAGTTTCTCCTGGTCAACGAAATATTAAATGGAAAATTCCAGTAATAAATGACTCATAAGTTTTAAGCAGCTTGTATTAGAGTAGACTGTTATAATTGTTCTATTTTATTAGTTGTTTTTAATCTCTTAGGGTGCTTAATTTTTAAATTAAACTTTAATATATGTATCGGAAGAAACATAGTATATATAGGGTTCTGTACCAACTGTGGTTTCAGGCATCCAGTCGGGGATCTTGGAACCCTTCCCCTAAAGATAAGGGGGACAGAGGTACATCAACTGCAGTTACTCAATCAACTCCTGGCTTTGTTTCTTGCCCTTCAGCAATAAAATGCCGGGCTCTGAGAGAAGGTGCTAGATGCTCCGTGATCAGTATGAAGACCACCCTTTGACAATGCCAAGACAGCACCCCACCTGGAGATCCCTCCCGTGGGCCTGTGCCCCCAGAGTCCCGTCTCATGTACTACGTATTCCGTGCCCCATTACAAGCGAGCTATCATTTTGGTACGGGAAGAAAAGGACAAGGAGGCTGTCCAGAGTGAGGAGGGCCTCTCATAGAGGGAGGGCAAGCGGGGACTCCTTGTGGAGGTCCCTGGCTGTTGGTGACACACAGGCACACAGGCCCCAGGAGGGAAGACACCAGAAGCAGGAGGGGCATCCAAGCCAGTGTGGTCATTCTATCACTTTGGCCAGGGTTAAATCTGGCCCTGACCTTCATTGCTCTAAACGCAGACAAAAACACTGAGACTCCTTTGCTGATCCTGGCTCATTTGTGAAGCTGCTGCTCCTCTCACAAGCTGTGCAAGAGCTGCAAGAGACAGCATATCCAAAATCCGCACCTGCAAAAGGGCACCAAGGCACTCCCATCCTACCACACACTAGGAGACGAGGGGCATTTGCTCCCCAAAGGGACTTTCCCTTGGGACAGGGAAACCTGGAGCCCCACCTATAGGCACAGCACAGGTTCCTAGGCCCATGGGCTACATAAACCCTGCTCTGTGCTGCTCTGCCCTTGCATCAGGATTCAGCCAGGAGTAGAGCCCCCAGTGCTTGGGGGATGACCCAGGGCACTCTTTTGACCTCCTTCACACTAAGCTCCTTCACCTCCGAAATGAGGAGTTTCAACTTGCGGTGGCTCCCAGCCCCATTCACATTAAGACTGTCTGGGGAGCTCCGAAACATGACCTGGGGTCCATCCCAGGTCCATTCAGTTGGAATCGCTGAGGATGGAGCTAGCCTGGGCATCCTTATTGTTTAAACCTCTCGGTGCTTCTCCTGCAAGGCCTGGTACTAGTGCTCTGGACAGCACTCTGCTGCAGTAAGTCTACTGTCCCACCCTGCTGGCAGCTCTCTGCTTCCAGCAAGAGGCCCACCCATTCCTGAGAGCAGCAAGTCTCCCACCTGCACAGCAGGAGGGAACCAGGCACCTTTTGCTTCCTGGCTCCATCTGGAAAGGGGATGAATGGGAGGTCTCAGGAGGACTAGATGGTTGTCAGGGCCTCAGAGAACTTGGAGACCAAGCACTGAGAGCAACAAAGGTCATTCATCAGGGGAGGAAATAGTCCCTCCTCCATTTACTCAAGCCCGATTTGCCAACCTCTGTTCCCCTGCATAATGTGCGGCAGTATTCACACCTGGGAGGCCAGAGTGGCTCACCTCTGTTACTTGGTAGCTGTGTGGCTCTGGGCAGGGCACTTAACTTCTCTGCCTTAGTTGCTTCATTCACAACTGAAGATAAGAAGATATTAATTATGCAGATGTCCTTGATAGGATTGCAAGGAGGATTAAATGAGTTAATATAAAGTCTCTAGTACAATACCTGGCACACAGTAAACACTCAAAGAGTGTTAAAAATTATTCATCAGGAAGGTTCCTGGGGCTGGCTAAATTGTGAAGCATTAGGTTAAAGATCAACAGGTTCCTTTTGGTTTTTGGGGGTTTTTTTGGTACCGGGGATCAAACTCGCGTCCTTGCACTTTCAAGGCAGGTGGCTGAACCACTGAGCTAAATTCCCGGCCCGTCAACAGGTTTCTTTACTGTAAGACTTCTCAAAATGACAATATTAACAAGGCACGTACCACAAAGAATGGGAGGATTGAATGAATTAATAGATGCACTCGCTGCCTTGTGCACATAATGGATCCTTCATAAATGTTAACTCTAGGCTTAAGTTTTTGTTTTTGCTTTCTGGTCCTGGGGATTGAATGCTCTGCCGCTGAGCTATGTATTTAGTATTTTGTTGTTGTTGTTCATTAAATTGCTCAGGCTGTCCTCAAACTTTTGATCCTCTTGCCTCCACCTCCAGTATCCAGGATTACATGCATGTACTACTGTGCCCAGGTACCTTTGAGTGTCCTTAATAAGCACCATAAATCAACAAGACAGGGAGTGCTGGGGCAGCTTCTCCCTTAATTATTTGTGCTCCTTTTCCACAGAGTGTATTTCGGAATGAGGGCTCCAAGCAGCACGCTCTGGGAAAAGTCACTAAGGGAATGGTCGGTCATCTGCTTTCCAACTCTTACCAAGGGATTGAAAAGGACACGCATGGGCCCGGGTGAGAGCAACGAGGGTTCTGTTATCAGGAATGGCACATTGGGGAAGAGACGTGGTGGGTCTTCCTCTCCTCCCCTAGCTTTCGCAGCCCATGTGCGTGGTGTCCCCGTGGAGACCGTGTGAGTCTGTGATTCTGTGGAGCTGATTCAATTCTTGACTCTTCCATCTCCTAATGAGGTGGTCTTGGGCATGCCACCTGGCCTCTCTGAGTCTAGCATCTTCAAGTGCATGATGACAGGACAGGGTTTATAAACCTGACAATGTGTAAAGTCCCTTCTGGCTCTATGTATGTACATTTCTCCCATAGTGAAGGAGGGAAGAGGAGAAGGAATAACATCTAGTTCTTGATCCCTAATTCTAGATTATTTGAAAGTTGTTTCCAGAGAGGTTCCAATGCCTGCTACCCCTTAGCCCATGTGTTCCCTGAGGACTGAGGATGCTAATAGAGAAAAATAGTAATGTGCTAAGCTAGACTCCTAGCCATCAAGTGATGGGGGAGAGAAAGGTGCTCATATTAACCTCTGTGCATTTGAAGAGATCATTAAAAGCCCATTACACCAAAGAGCTCTGCTTTTAAATAGAATTATGGTGACTACCACCCATATTTTCTAGACCAAGCACCAGGCCCTACGCTATCAGAAAGGATTTTTAATGCCATCTGATATAAGATGCCATCTTGAACATGGAATGTGAAAGTTCACCTCTCAATTTTGGTAGAATGCAGATGGCTTGTTGGGAGACAAGGGACAGAATAGCTGCAAACAGGAGTGTTTCTGGAAGCCCAGGTAATATGACCATCATGCCCAACACCCCTGTACACCCAACATGCCACACAATGGGAGCGTTGCTCTTTTCCCATCAACAAAAGCAGCTAGCCTCGTACTTAGCATTCATTCCCACGGAGGCAATAAAAACCACACTGGATGCTTGGATTGGCATCTATCATGCCCAGCCAGGTCTAGTTCTGTTCCCGGGGCTCTGTCACTTTCTTCTAGGCTTAACTGCAATATTTACTTTCACCGAATAGATTGCAAAGTAACAATGTCTCCCATTTAATTTATTAAACCAAGACACATTAATGACCTACTTGGAAGTTTGATGTCTTCACAGCAGAGCTCCCAGGCTGAGAACTTCTCAAAGAAAGAGTGAGCTGAGAGCATTGGCCTGGCCCTTTGTCCTGCACCTGTTCTTAATTTCCTGCTGTCTGTTGTCCCTCTGATAAGTGTTGAAAGGGGAAGAAGTGTTATTTAATTGCTGTAAAACATCAAACAAGCCAGTGGAAGGTTATCTCCTTCCCAACCCCTCTATTTTTTTGGTTCAAGATTTTGTTACTTAGTTATTGACCCTGCTACAGTGGAAGGAGAGGTGGCCCCATGTGGGTAAGAGCTGCCTTTGCAGGGAGTGGAGGAAAACCAAAGTGGTGGGAATCAAACAGGGACTAGGCACTCAGGCTAGCTGCTGAGCACAGGCAGCAGCAAAGTCAAACAGCTCTTTCGAGGTGGGAAAGGTGGGAAAGGTGGGGGAGGCATACAGGATCCAGACAAAATAAAAAATTATTTAAATCCCACCTTTTCTGCCGCCAAGGTCAATAGGTGCATTCAGATCCCACGCAGCCAGCTGCAGGGAAGTCAGATGTGCCTGAAGAGGATGGGCCCAGTACTTCTTCTTCCATTCAGTCTTGAGATGTAGCCAGGGCAGTCTTTGGTCACCCCAGTTAAAGAACATACAGAGACACCAGCTGCTCACTGAGTTGCCTCGAATGGCAACTATTTAGCTGAGAGTCCAGGAGCAGCTTGTTTTTGCTGGTGGGACTCATACTAAAACTATAAGCAAAAACAAAAACAAAAAAACATCAAAACTGCACAGTCCCATTAGAATCACCATGTGTGTGTGTGGGGGGGGACATTCACAGCCAGTGGCTATTTCTTGTATGTGTTATGAAAGGGTGGCTATGTTTTTAAATGATACATGAATTTGTGATCCATGGTTTGAGAACATTTACAAGACAACATAGAACCAAGGAAATGAATTTAAGGGTAGCATGGGCACTGCCTGGCTCTTCCTTGTCCACCTCTTTCCTTGGAAACCGTCAGGGTCATGGATTGTAAAGTAGAGGTGGCAACAGGTTTTGTAACTGTGTCACCAGTGGAGGCAGAGTTCTCCTGAGCCCAATTCTGCGACCACTTCTTCCTCTTCCATCGAACAGGAAAAGGGGACACAGCCATCTTCCGGTGAACACCCACCCTGGCCTCTCTACCCTGCACACAGGAGTCTAAAGATAAGCTGACACCCAGCTTGGCTGGGACATCAGACAGTCACGGGTTCAGGTTCCATCTCACCCAGGAGCTCCAGGCTGATCAACAGCTCAGAAAAACATGAAGCCAACCAAAGTTCCTGACTTCTATGTTTACAAGCAGCTCACCGCTGCTTTAACTGCTGGTCCCTTCCCTGCATCTCCCACTCCACCTTCTAAACAGTCTCTGGACTTTTGCTTATCATTGGTGCATTGATAACTGGATGACAGGATGGACAGATCAAGGCAGCTCAGCCCACGGAGAAAGTTAGTTGGGGCTTGGTTTCTGATTTCCCACCCTCTAAAAATGTACCCGGAATGGTGTGTGTGTGTGAGCCTGGAGGAGGGCGAGGAAAGGAAAGCTGCGGGATTGATTATGGCTTATTAAACTATTGGAACACAAGCTGAATCATCATAGTCAAAAAATAAATAGCTGCAGCTTGATGCAACACAACTCCCACTTCTCGCCGGCTCCCGTTTGCTCCGCATAGCACAGCGTAGGCAGAGCGGCTGTGCCAGGCTGGCAGGCCGTGCTGACTGACAGGCTCAAGCAAGGGGACAGCGGGTCCCTGGGCCTCCACCCTTGGCTGAGGCCCTGGCAGCTGCTCGAATTGCATCTTGGGCCTCAGGTGCAGCTCACACACCTGCCTTCGTTCGCAGCTGCATGGAGAAGCGGGGTCCTCCGCCTCCCTTCGCTCTGTAGCTTTTCCCTGGTGCTGCACCTTGTTCCCTGCAACCCAGGGCTGGTCCACGGTGGACGCTGCTTTGCCAACTTGTGTGACTAAGAAAATCACAGGTCCCAGGACAAGTGTGGACACCACCACAACCACCACTACCCCCCACGCCAGCTGCCCGGAATGTGTCGGGTGAGAGGCAATCGGAGGGAAAGCGGCGCGAGTCCTCGCCCGCGAGTCTTGGGGAATCTGGGATCACTTCACCCTTCACGCCCCCGCAAGCAGGTCCCTCTTCCCGCTCTCCCCGGGGACCCGCGCACTCGGCCCGGCCCGCAGCCCTCCGCGGTATTCTCCTCCGGTCTCACTCCAGTCCTCCTACAGGACCCGGCGGGCGGGCGGAGCGAAGCCGTGGTGACGTAACTGGAGGGGGGCGCTGTGGGGAAATGTGCCCAGGGGCTCCGGCCCGCCCGGGCCAGTCCAGCGAGGCCACCCGCGCACAGGGCTCAGTCCGCAGCTCGGCGCTGGCGGCTCGCGGGCCAGGTCGGTTCCTCAGCGCGCGAGGAGCCTGAGGGGCCGGGAGCCGGGACGCCCGGCATCAGGCACCCGCCAAGCTGCTGCGCTCCCTGGCACCCGGGCGGGTAAGGGACAGCCACTGGGCGCTGGCGAGCCCAGATAAGGCACTGCCGCGGAAAACCAAGGTAAAGTGTGTGTGCGTGCATGTGCGTTGTGTGTGGCCGAGAGGCAGACGGAGAGATGCAGGGAGCGAGAAGCGCAGCTGGGCACCTGTGTGCGTCTGCGCTGACGGTCGCGCGCCCATCCGTGCGAAGAGCACAGGTCCCGGTGCACGATTCTCCGCCCTTGTGCCTGTCGGCGATGATTGTGTGACTGTGTGGGAACGAACGACAGGGGTGTCCTGGCGTAAGTCGGGGGCTGCTGGTGGTGCGTGCGCCCGTGTGCTCGGCGCGTGCCCTGCAGCCCGAGCGTCCAGCGGTAGCTATGATGGGGGCAACTTCTTTCCGAGCCACTTGCAAAAGAGCCCCGCAGCAAGGCGAGCGAGGCCAGCGGAAGGGATGTGTCGGGGCCACGCCGGGCTCCCGCAGGCGCGCATCTCCGAGATCCCGAGCTCTGAACCTGGGAGTGGCAGGCGCGGGGGCCCCGGGCGGAGAGAAGAGGGGATTCCCCGCCTGGCTGGAGAGGCGGATGCGGACTGCCGTGGGGTCTCACCTCCTGCCTCTGGGCGGAGACCATAGTCTGCCTAGACCGCTGGTCAAACCCCCCAGGCAACTGGCGTCACCTCCAGCTGTCCGTGGCACCTCGGTCGCACTCTGTTTAGAGCCTGGACGTGCTGGCACTGTAGTCTTCGTTCACTCTCCCTACACCTTCCCGGAAATCCTTTAGGAGACCCTGCTCTGAGGGTCCGGAGTTGAAGGAGGGTTTTCACAGCTCCAGCTCCGCTGTCCCCCCCAGCAAAGATGCAGACTCCTGGACCACAACTCCCAGGGCTCCTCTCCTGGACTCCCGCCCCCCCCCCCCCCCCCCGCTTTGGCCAGCACCAGGGCTTTTCCCAGGCGCTCTAGCGCTGCGGTGGCCCACACCGAATTGCTGTCTCTCTGCCAGTGGGGGCTCCCGGCTCAAGCCCCAGAGGCCCAGCTGGTTTACCGGCTAGGCTGGAAGGGAGGCGGGAGTGGGGGTTAAATGCAGAAAGATGCTGGGAAGACAATAACCAAAGCTAAGTAGGATTTAGGGGCACCCGGATGTCAGGACCCCATTCCATCTCTCATTCCTGCTCCGGAATATAGGAAGGGACCACTGTAACTCTCCTCTTCAAAAGAGCCTGGCCATAAGCTCAGAGTAAACCAACAACCAGGCCATTCCCTGTAGCTAATAGTTCTTAAACTGGAAAAATAAAGAAAGCAGAAAATCAGACTTCCTAGTACATTTAATTTAACCACAATTCAACAAGTATTGACTGCTTAGCATTTGCAGTCTACTTGCTGTGGGACAAACATGAAGCAGAAGGCTCTCAGAGACCTTAGGCAGCTGAGTTCCTTGCTAAATGAGACTCACATGATTCGAGCTTATTTCTTCCTGGAGGAGCCTCTCCCAGCTCCATCTATCACCTCTGCTACCTTTACCAGGGCTCTGAACCCCATCTCTTGCTGCATCTCAAACATGCTTCTCAGCCTATTTTGGGGGAAAAAAAACCCCAAAATAACCTGACCCTCATGTACTTTGGTCCAGGAAAAGGCACAGCTACAGCTGGAAAATGGCATCTGACCTTTCCTCACATCCCCTCCATCATCATCATCATCATCCCAAGAGCTCTAGATGGGGCTTCTGTGGCCCTGGGGCTCTTCAGCGTAACCCAGGCATTAGAGTATGACCATTTGTGGTATAGATTTGGGCCTCCAGCAAGGCTAAGGGTTAACATACACTCCAAGTGCAGCCAGCTGAAATAGAATTCTGGATCTGTAGAATTAAATAATAGGTGAGATGGTTAAAAACGATAGTGGAAACAATTTAAGTTAATCCGGGGATACTAAAAACAGCTTCTTTACAGCCTCTGTAATAGCTGTCAGCTTATGCTTTTTTGCCCAATGCAGACATGAAATCCTGGGTCCCCAAAGTACTTTGAAAAATGGATTGGCCACAAAGCCCAGACTCTGCAGACACTGCGATGGGGGATATTAGCACAGAAAGAGTAAGCAGTGTGCCTGGCAATATGGAATGAATCACAAGCAAAGGTGGGCAGGGATGCTCTTGTATTTGTTTTTGCCTAAATCTCCTTTACCTGCTTTGTCTGTGAGCATTAAGCATTCACTCTCTCATCTATTCGCAGGCACCAGAAAAAGTACCCTGTGTGGGGAAAATGTGTCAGCCAGATTCCTTATTCCTACTATGTGCTGGACACACCACCCCTGGCATCTTCCTTCTCCTGGACTGACTTCCTGCCCTGTCCTTTTGTTTCACTCTCATACACTCAAGGCCCAGCTCCAAAATCCCTCCTGTGAAGCTTTCTCTACATCCCCAAGGAAGAAAGGAATTCTTACAGCCTTTTTTAATATCTCTGTGCCATTCACACCCTATATGAGTTGCCTTCCTTGGCTGTCTCCCTACTAAATTTTCACTCCCTAGAGGGTACCAGCCTGTCTTTGTGCCCAACACAAAGAAGCCCTCAGCCATGTATTTCAAATGATCGTAGATAAATCATTTAAGAATGCAATGATCCATTGCCTTATATCTTAAGCCAAGCCAATAGAGCAATAATTATTTGCTCAGCAAGCATGGAGGTAACACTGGAGTCAGTTGCTTTCAACCAAAGCCCACTTATCAGCCACTTGTTTTCCAGTCTGTTGAACAGCAGATTCGCTGCCATGAAAGGCAGAGGAGATGTAGGGCCAGGTGGCCTGTGTTCAAACCCCAACTCTGCCAACTATGAGAGTGAGCTCCTTAAAGCCTCTAAGCCTTGACATCCTCATCTTTAAAATGGGGATAATGTCCCACTTCTCAGGATGATGGGGAAGATGGGAGGGTGTGGGAATGAACTGTCTCAGAGTTTGGAACCTTCTGTATACACTAGAGAGAAAGGGTCCCTCAACTGGCTCCTGTTTTGGCCTTAATCAGGGAATTGCAGCCAAATCCTCTAGAGTGTTAGAAATACTTTTTGGAGCAGCACCCTGGTCGGGGACTTTAGGAAAGGGCTCTCCTCACCATGAGGCAGACAAGTATCAGGGACTGGAGAAACAAGAATGGAACAGACAACATCTACACTAAAGCACACATTTAAAAAAAAATTTTTTTTTGTGACAAGTTCTCAGTATGTAGTTCAGGGTGCCCTTGAACTCACTATGTGGTCCAGGCTGGCCTGAAACAAGTGGCAGTCCTCCTGCCTCAGCCTCCCAAATGCTAGAATGACAGGCATGCCCCACCATGCCTAGCTTCAGACTTTTATTTCTAATACCACAAGACCATAAATTGATTCATCATGTAGGCAGATTTCAATAAACTGAAGATAATGAGATGGTGGAGGAATAAAGGGGAGAGGGCTCAACACAATGCTAGGTGTCTTCCCATACCTTCTCTCATTTAACTTTCACAGCACCCCCGTTTCAACAAAGGAGAGTCTGAGCAGGAAAGGGCTAGACATGAGGCCGCATGGGCTCAGCCATGGAGACCAGGACTGTTCTAACTCTGAGGTTTGGGGTTTTTCCATTTCTAGGATTGAGAATGGAACGACTCCTCAGCAGGCAGCAAGTCAGCATAGATTTCTTCACAGGGAAAAGACTCAGGATACTAGAGTCAGACACTCCCACCCCAAGGTCAGGCACTGAAATTCTCCAAGCTCTGCCTTTTGGCAGTTTGCACCAGTCAACTACTGAGGGGTCAAAGTATGCGTTCTTGAGGCCATGGTCATCCCCCGCATGTGCGTCACCAAAACTGATGGCTGAACCCAAGCCCTTCCCCCACTGTGAAGATGGAACCCAAAAAGTCTGCACACAGACAAGGATAGGCTGGCAGCTGTCATGCTGATGTAGAAAGATAGCACGTTTTCCAGTTTAAGAGTATGTCTAAGAGGATAAAGCAGAAAAGCGGAAAGCTGATGAAAGCTTAAAAAGCCTGTGACTGATAGGCCCATCTTCTTTCCTTCCAGATGTCACAGTGGATCCTTGGCCTCTGGGGCCCACTGCAGTGAGAATAAGATCTCCAGGCTGGCTGGCTCTAGACTAAGAGGCAGAGCAACCATGGAGATGGCATATGACCAACTCAATGGGACCCAAGCATGGCTGGCCTCTCCCTTCGACCTCAATGGCTCAGTGGTAGCACTCAACAACTCAAACCAGACAGAGCCGTACTATGACATGACCAGCAATGCAGTCCTCACGTTCATATATTTTGTGGTCTGCATCATTGGGTTGTGTGGCAACACACTCGTCATTTATGTCATCTTCCGTTATGCCAAGATGAAGACCATCACCAACATTTACATCCTCAACCTGGCCATCGCAGATGAGCTCTTCATGCTGGGGCTCCCCTTCTTGGCCATGCAGGTGGCACTGGTCCACTGGCCCTTTGGCAAGGCCATCTGCCGGGTGGTCATGACTGTGGATGGCATCAACCAGTTCACCAGCATTTTCTGCTTGACAGTCATGAGCATTGACCGTTACCTGGCTGTGGTCCACCCCATCAAATCAGCCAAGTGGAGGAGACCCAGGACAGCCAAGATGATCAATGTGGCTGTGTGGGGAGTCTCTCTGTTGGTCATCTTGCCTATCATGATATATGCCGGGCTTCGGAGCAACCAGTGGGGGAGAAGCAGCTGCACCATCAACTGGCCAGGTGAATCTGGGGCATGGTACACAGGGTTCATTATCTATGCTTTCATCTTAGGGTTCCTGGTACCCCTCACCATCATTTGTCTTTGCTACTTGTTCATTATCATCAAGGTGAAGTCCTCCGGAATCCGAGTGGGATCCTCCAAGAGGAAAAAATCTGAGAAGAAGGTCACTCGAATGGTGTCCATCGTGGTGGCTGTCTTCATTTTCTGCTGGCTCCCCTTCTACATATTCAATGTCTCCTCCGTCTCTGTGGTCATCAATCCCACTCCAGCCCTTAAAGGCATGTTTGACTTTGTGGTGGTCCTCACCTATGCTAACAGCTGTGCCAACCCCATCCTCTATGCCTTCTTATCTGACAACTTCAAGAAGAGCTTCCAGAATGTGCTGTGCTTGGTCAAGGTGAGTGGCACAGATGATGGGGAACGGAGTGACAGTAAGCAGGATAAATCCCGGCTGAATGAGACCACAGAGACCCAGAGGACTCTCCTCAATGGAGACCTCCAAACCAGTATCTGAACAGCTTGGAAAACAAAAGCAAAGAGGAGCCAAGCTCTGCCTCTTGGCAATGGGCTCTATCCTCATACTCCCTTCCTCCCATCCATCACTGCGGCTTCTAGAATAAAGGATTGCTCAGCATGAGACCAATTCAGAGAATAGGGTTTGAGCTCCTCTGATTGAATGATAGTGTCTCACATTGATTACCTCCCCCTGAAGGTGACATTTAAATGCAGGCAGACAATTCAAAGTCTGGAGAAGAGGAGATCATGCCTGGGTGTGACCTTGAGATATGGTGAAGTTCAACAAAAATAGAAAAAAAAAAACTACCTATGTGTTTGTGTGCTTAAAAACCAGTATGTAATCTTGTGTTCTGATATTTATACTTGTATTACTCCTATCTGTTCTTTGTACAGTCATTACCTACGTTTTCTTCGTTAACAGATGCAAGTAGTAAAGTCAACTGTGCATAGTATATACATGGACATTTACCACAATATGAAACTAAAGAAATGGACTTAACATGAAGCCAACAGTTTAAGCTTTAGGGATCTCTCGAGCAGTGTGGTCATATGGTCATGATTTTGTTTCAAAAAAAACCTGAAAGTAAGATATTTTTGTAGCCTTTCTCTTAGGAGGGCCCCCTAAATTGTATAGACTTCCAGCCTCACATAATCTGCCTCTGTCCTAGGGTATTCGCTTCATTAAGTTCAGGAAAGTTTGGTCAAAATAAAGAGGAGATGAGAGGAGATATTTGAAGACCCAAAATATAAAGTCATGAGTTTCCTCTTCTTAAATGCAGTTATTCATTTACCCCAAAGGACTTAAGTGGTTGTAGTCATCAATCATTGTAATTATCAAGACAAAGCTGGCTTTGTTATAAGATTGCATTTTTTCTTCTCAAATTGGTTTAATCTTTCTTAGGAAGCCATGGAGAGAAAAACTCACTAACCTGAAAGGAAAAAAAAAAAAAAAAAGACCGTGATTCTTGTGGGGAAACAATTTTCTCTCCTTCTTGCCATGAAAATAAATGAGTAAGAATGAAGCAAAATTATACCTTTATGAGAAACTATGAATAAGTTTTTTCTGTTCATGCTGGACATGACTTTCTAATGAGAGAAAATGGAAATGTAATTCAACACATCAAAGGGTTTTTTAAAGGACTTCATACAAAGCTAGGCATTAAGAAAATCACGATGCATATTAAAGACCTGAGGACATTGTTCTTAAAACAAAAACACACATCAGCCAATAGATAGTCAGCATGAAGGGGATGTGCAAGTGTGTGTGTGTGTGTGTGTGCGCGCGTGTGTGTGTTGAAAGGAGCCCCATCTTTCACAGGTATTGCTATGCTACCTTCTTCACTGACTGTATACCCATTAGGCATTGTATCTTGAATGCTATGAACTCTCTGAGCTATTCCCCCAAGGACTTTTGTTCCCCAAACTGTAGACAGGTTTATGTACAAGTGATAAGAAGGGACAATGTCTATTTCATGGACTGATTGCAGTTTCCAGGGTATGGAGAAATATACACCCAGTATTTGCAAGATGCCACCCTCTCTGGGTTTATATGGAAGAAAGTATGACTTAACACCTTGTACATAGATTTTTAAAATGAGCTTTCCTCTGCTGGCTCCCTAAGCAAGGGTTGTTTGAAGGTCAGAATAACTAATTGTCCCACCTGTGGCTTCCTTGTTAATGCACTGCTTTTGTTCCCTCTGCCTATATCTTTCACCTCATTCCCCAAAGTACTTACTGTGGCTTAAAAAATATGTTCCATAAGATTTATGATAGACAAATAAATTCATGCAAAAATAAAAAGAGCTGCAATTACAAAAAAGGACTATAGGGAAAGTTGTTACAAAAAATGCATGTGGTAAAATTCCACACTGTAGGGACAGGGGGTACTATAGGTAGGGAAAATATAGGATGAAAGCCTCATTGAGCTTTATTAAAAGTTAATAAGGCAGTTTTGACCCCTGCAGCCAGATTCTAGCAATTAGGAGGGCAAAGGCAGCTAGACTCTGAGGAATTAGACAAACTTCCTAGGTAGCACTATTAACATAAGAATCGAAAATTTCCCCTTCACTTAATCCTTTAGCCTAAACTACTTGTCCATAAGGGCCCCACCCATAATCTTGCCCTCCACCAAAGGACAGGGAAAGGTCTCAGGGTTGGAGAAAATCCAAGATTAGGATGAAAGACAAGCCAGAGAGCCAATCAGATTCCAAGAGCCCAGTGGGACAAAGATCTCAATAAAAGGAGCTGCAGACAAGAAATCCATGACCAATTCACTTTCGAATTCAACCTACTCATTCTGAGTAGCTGTCTGTCATCCTTCTTTTCTGCCTTTCCCATCTTTAAGTAAATTGTCATCTTTTGTTTCACACTGATTGTTTGATTCTTTACCGACACTGGCTTGAGGATCTCCGGGAGCTGCGTGTTCCAGCAGAACAGTGGCTTGCAGTCCACCCCTGGACGTTGCAGTGTGGCATGGCACGGTGTGGTATACAACCCTCCCCAGACATTGCAACATCATTACTAAAGGCAAAGTCAGCTACAAGCTCAGCTCAAGGCTTGCTCCCTGGCAGTTGTATCTAATGGAAAGAGATGTTTTAAAAATAAAAGCAAGCAAAGAAAGAAACACTATAAACCCAATTTTACCATTATTATAATATGAGGTGTCCCAGGATCTTTGAATGTGTGCTGGAGTTTTATTGTTTTTTACTTAGGGAAATCATTCTAGGAGACCAAAACTGGTAGAAATTCAAGGCAGTTAAGAATAATCCTATAGTGTCTATGTTCTGGGGACCAGAGAAACTACCCCCAAAGCACTGACAACCTCAAAATCAAATTCATACCCAGTATCTGGGGCCATCATCCATCAACAGGCTGATTTATTTGAAGGCGAAAAAAGGGACCTTTAAGATCAATGCTTATAATTCCACCCAAATAAGTAGTCAGTGAAAATAGCATTTCCACTCTACAGAGGTGTGTTCTCTATTTTTTGAAATATCTATTTCAAGGATGACTTGCTCTCTGGTTTTCTTTTGCCCAAAGAGGGAATAAAGCTTTTAATGTAAATGCTATTGCAATTTTAATTCAAAAATTTAATCTTAGCTTCAGCTCAACATTATGACGATAAATCTGCTGGATGTTAAGAGAACAAAAAGAAATGCATCCCGTTGATTTTAGGGTATCACTTCCATTAATGTAGGTAGTTAAGAGCTGATTAAACCTCTGTAGACTTAGTGAGAAAAGTTTTGGGAAAGATATTATGACAACATGGCCCGAATTGAATGTTAGTTTGTGTTTCAGTAACACAGCATTGAGTAACATTGGAGTTGGAGTTGAAATTTTGGTGAGGTTCATACCATAGCTTGGAACAATTTAAAATGCAAAGATTGGGCCGGGGATTTAGCTTAGTGGTTTCGCCGCCTGCTGTGCAAGTGCAAGGACATGAGTTCAATCCCCGGTACCAAAAAGAGAAAAGAAGATGCAAAGATAGAAGATGGTGAAATGGAATGCAAAGAGGGAAATGTGGGCTGGTGGATGGGATTTCCAGAGCTGGTTATGAATTGGAGTCTATTTGCTTGTACAATCTAATCTCCTGTCCGTGAAGGAACATGGGTATTGCTTGCCAAAGCTTGCAGCCCCAGCTGCCCTGGATAGGAGAGTCACGGTGGAAAAGTGTACAATCTGGTCATTGGGATGGGTAGGAAGAAAGGGGCTGTGGAGGTACGGGCTCCCAATCAGCTCCAACAGTGGCTATTCGATGAAGACTGAAGTTGCAATGGCGGGAAGACAGGAGCTTGGGCCTGGCTGAAGAAAGGTGACAACATCAGAAGGTTCCATATATGGTCAGGAAAGCCTGCTTAGTGTTTCTGAAATGTGTATTATCGTAAGAATCACAACAGCTTAGAAGCAGTTGCACTTCTAAGTGATGACTTATAAGCAATCACTTGTCTCCTCCACATTTTTGCTGGATTCAAAAACATTAAATTTCCCATCAAACATTCTATCAAAGCAAACCTTTACCTAGTTGCTTATTTTGCTTCTAATATATGAATTTCTGGGAACAGTCTCCTAGGCAGAGCCTCTAATTCTTTCTATTGGCTCACGTAAAAAGTAGGCACTAGGGTCTGTGTTCTACTCACAGCAGAAAATCTTCTGTAGCTGCATTACTGACTCAGGGACCATTCGGCCTGGAAATGACATCCCAAGGACAAGCTTTCACACCTGCCACCCTCACTGCCACTTTCAAGGCTGCCTAGCCCTTCCTCCACTTGGCAGTGGCTGAGCACTGGCAGATACCTATTTGTTCTCTTGTAGATGTCTCTGCTTGTATCTATCTGGACTGTGCTTAAAAACAGAGCTAAATATTAACTAAGACCTAACCAAGCCAACTATAAAGCATTATTGATTCTCCTAAGATGAGAAGTGCATGTAATGTCATTAGAATGAAATGCTGTGGCCAGATCACCCAGCACACTGAACACCTGCCTCCTGTTGGGCACAGATTTTAAGCATGAGAGAGCTGAGGGCAGAGACTCAGCTTCAGTGGGTGGAGACGCAGGAGGTGACAGGCAGGAAGGGACAGGCTCCATTTTCCATCTTTTTTCTGACATTATCAAAGGGATGGACAAGAGGGAGGAAAGGGCCTCTTGGCCTGGATATTGGTGTCTAGAAACAGAAAAGGGATATTCTGATTAGAGATACTATTGCCCTATCACTTCAGAAAAGCCTGTAAGAAATGCGATACGAGGCCCACTTACAAAGCAATCTGAACTGTCATCCCATAGCCTTTCTGCCCCAATTATTTGGTGCTGGGAGCCTCTAGTTGTTTAAGGATAAAGGTCCCTTTGCCGTAGAAGTCACTGAAGAAGGGAGGCCTGGGTGAGCTCAGCCCGAGAGCGTGCCGGGTCTACCAAAGAAGACTGCTTAAGCCCTCGATGCAGCTCCTTCAAAAAGCTGAGTGTGGACTGGGGAAACAGGTCAGTGGTTCCAGCCCCCCAAAAAGAACAGATTGCAAAGTGGCAAGTACAGGGGCCCTGGAGGGAAGCTGCTTGTCTCAAGAGAGAAAGACCCACCATCAGCTCTCTGAAGGCAGCTAGCAGTCACCTCACCAGGTCCAGCAGGGCAGCTGCGGTGCCATTCCTACGATAGCCAGCTCCGCTCCTCAGTGGTACCACTTCCTCTGTCTCTCAAGCTCCTGTTCCCAGGTGAGGGAGAATGTTCATTGCCTACTGAGTTGATAGTTTTCTTCTTGGTACCAGGGATCGAACTTGGGTCCTTGCACTTGCGCAGCAGGCGGCGAAACCACTGAGCTAAATCCCCGGCCCAAGTTTTCTTCTTTTTAAAGAAGAAACCCAAAAGGCCCTCAAACCACAAAACTTTGAATGGTAGCCAGCACCATCTCCCCTCTCAGGAGGAAAGAAGTGTTCTAAGGCTCTCAAGTGCTCCCGTTTGTGCTTTCACTCCAGTTTGTGCTCCCAAACACACACATACACACAAGCTCCCGAGACTGTACACACATTATGCCGGTGCACTGGTGCTGCAGCAGAACACACGCAGGATACATGGGATACACCCACATGTGCAGGGCATCCTCGAATGTGCGTGTGTTGCGCATGCCCAGACCTGTGAGGCACATGTGTGACACTCATAGGAAACGTGTGTGTGACACATGAGATCCTCCAATGGCTTTCCGAGGAAGAACAGAACCATAATCTGATTAACTCACTGAGTTACTCACTTTTCATTTTTCGAAATTCATTTTTTCCTAGGCTGACGCCACCATGGAGACAGTGATGTACCATATCAGTTAATTTTTTACCCAGAGGATTCTGTACCCTGTCACAGACTGCAGGGCTAGCCCTTGTCAGCTGTCCCAGATACAACAGGCCACCTCAACTAAAAAAATTAAAAATAAAGAGTGGGCAAAAGGGTGTGAAGGGCAGACAACAGATCATCCAACTAGTCAAACAACTCAAAGCACCACTAACAGCAATGGTCTTGCAAATAAGAATCACAGATTAATTCTTAAATATTTCCTCATCAAGGACAGCATCTTAATAGATACACACACACACACACACACACACACACACGCACACACACACCTTAGTGAAAATCTAAGGAAACCTGTGGTGCTTAGCCAACAAGAAAATGAATGGCAGTTCTCTTCCTCCCCCATGAAGACACCTCCACACAGACTGTCTGAAACATAAACATGGCCCTCCCCTGCCACCATCCTACTGTAGTCCACTTCTATGGCTCGCCATTGAGCTATCAGGTCCTCCTGTTTGCCTTCTGTAGTGCACCAGGGAAGAGTACTGGGGAAGGTGCGCCCTTCTTGGACGAACAGAAGCTTGATCTCCAGCGTTCGTGCATGAGATTAAATTAGCTGAGCTCCAGCTGCATGACCAACCTGGCATGCTAGACACCAAAGGAGTGAAGCCTTGGCTTGAATGAAGATGTACTTTGGCTTCAGCTTCAGCGTTCTTTGGCAGATTAAGAGTCTCTGATATTTCTTCCAGATCCCTGGTGGATGGGCAGCGGAGGTGACAGACACCACAGCTCGTTTCATTTTCTTCTCCTCTGCAACTTCACCCGGCCCCCTTTTGCTCCCCTGGTTCCCAGGGCTTGTCAACCCGAAGCAGGAGAGGTCTATCCTCAGCCACACTGCGGGGCTCAGCGACCAGCTGCCCATGTAGCTAAAGACATCGTTCTATCTGGTCCTTCAGTGGAACATTTCTAGCACAGCTGAGCAGGCACAAAATCTAGTTTGCTACCAGCAACATGGTTCTGGGCTGTTGGGCAGACATGAAAATGGGTACTTACAGGGTCTGGATTTTGAGTGCTTATGTACTGCCTCTAGTACCCATAAAAGTAAAAATAATTGTGGGAGAAAACCAAGTAAGGCACAGATGTAACAGAAAATTTCGACAGGAAACCCTTTTTTCAGAGACTGGCTTCACCTTAAAGAGTGTTAAGGAAGCCGGGTGTGGTGGCACACACTTGTAATCCCAGCTCCCTGGGAGCCTGAAGCAAGAGGAGCCCAGGTTCCAGTCCAGCCTGGGCAAGTTAGTGACTTAGTGAGACCCCGTCTCAAAATAAAAGAATTAAAAAGGGCTATGGGTGTAGCTCACTGTGAAGGCCTTAGGTTCAATCCCCAGTACCAAAAAAAAAAAAAGAAGAAGAAAAAGTATCAAGGAAGCTGGACACAGTGGCATACACCTGCAGTCACAGCTACTCGGAAAGCTGAGGCAGGAGGGTCACGTGAGCCTAGGAGCCAGCCTGGGCAACATGGTAAAAGCCTGTCTCAGAAACAAAATCAAAACCCAAAATGGTTAAGGTCAACAGAGGCCCAGGTGTTTCCAGAGAACT